CATGGGATAGTTGTGCCATGAAAGGGGATGGAGAAAATTAAGGAAGACCTCCTGAAGGAGGTGGAGAGGTTGATGAGGAGGTGGAGGAACACAGTGCCCACTCAACTCTGTGGTTTGAGTCTCCAAAGGTGGTCTAGAGCATGGTGAGGACCATCAGAACTTGGGTGAGCTTGGGAAGTTGTTACCTAGAGGTTGAGGGACCCCCTTTCATATGATGAACTGTGCCCTTAGAGTGTCCCGTTTGCCATGCAGAACAAAACAGTGCCCTTTATCTTGATGAAGAGATAGTTGACCACATGATGGCCAAAGCATGGTCAATAGTGTACACTTTGCCTTGTCGCAATCTTTCCGAGTTGACATGGCCTTCCTGGAGGAATTACCACTTAGGGTAGAGACATCCCTTCCCCCATCAATGCCGCTGCCCCACATTGGAGGAGGGGTTGTTTATGTTCACCATGTGCCTGCTTCCAATGCCAAGTCAGGCCTCAGAAAGCTTTCTGGAAGTGACGCCAACTTCAGGGGCAAGGCCCTGGTTCCGGGGTCAGCACCATTCCGTGGTTCCTGAAGAGATGGTAGACTATGGAACGTAGGCGTTATGATTTTTGACCTATGTAACATGGTCCACTAACTCTCAGTATCCAATCCATCCTCGGAGGGCTTCCTGGAGGTGTTGCCAGCTTCAGGGAAGAGAACACTGGGTTTAGCTTCAGCACTGCTCCACGGCCATTTCTGTGGTTCATGGTTGATGTCTGACTTGTGCAACAAGGCCTGGCTCTTCTGGGCACTAAATACACTCTCTGGGGAGTTTTCTGGAAGTGATGCAGCTTGGGTCCAAGACACCGGTTCCAGCCTCAGCCGTGGTTCTGGAAGAGATGGTTTGCCATGTGGCCTATGCGAAAGGAGGGATTTGTGTGACATGGGCTGCCACTTCCCAGTAGCCTGCCAGCTTTGGAGGGCTTCGTGGAGCCAGTACTACCTTCAGGGGGACCCACCAGTTCATCCTTCATTCCGCTGTGTGGCATTGAAGAGTTGCTTTCCTGTTTATACTAATGTCCACCTCTGATCAGTCTTACATTCAGTCTCAGAGGGTTTTCCGAAGGCAGTGCCAAGTCTGGGAATGAGACAGTGGTTCTGTCCTTAGGGAGGTGGTTGACCAAAACAACTCCTGCTTTGTTCATGAAGATGGCATGGTGCTCAGAATCTAATCCAACCTAAGAGGACCTCCTGGAAATGCCTTTGGTATTGAGGCAGATATGGCCTTACAGCACGTTTTTTTTTTTTTTTTTTTTTTTTTTTTTTAAATGCCCAAGACTAGAGCTCACTAATAGGTAAGATCTGGGCTTCAGTTGCCCAGTACTGTTTCTTGGCCTGGTCAGTGTAACTAGACGGATGTTCTTTGGTTGCACATGGGCCATTTTGCATTTCTGATTTTCTCCCCACTCCCCCAACCAGCTCTGTTAGCCATGTGGCATGTCCTCCCTCCCACCTACCCACTCCTTCAGACCCAGCACAGTGTGTCTGGCACATAGCGGGCACTTAATCAGTATTTATGGAGTGATGAAATCCATATCATCATCCACTTCTTCTCAGTGGAACTTTCAGCCTTGGAGGGCTTCCTGGAGGAGTTGCCAGTTTTGGGGATGAGCCACTGCTTCGAGCATCCATGTCAACCCCTGACCATGAAGACGAGACTCCTGGCCTGTGTGTGCTTGTGGCATGATGCATGTGCTGTGCTCAACCTCCCTTCTGGTTCCACCCAGCTCAAGGCCTTGGAGGGGTTTCTGGATGTGTCCTGAGCCTTTGTCCTCGGCGTCTCTGTGTGGTACTTGGAGAGATAGTAGACCGTATAGCGTACGCTTTATCTGTGACGTATGTAACACGGTCCACTAACCCTCAGTATCAAATCCATCCCCGAGGCTCCTGGAAACAACGCTGTCTTCGGGGAGGAACCATTGGACCCACCACCGCTTCTCCATGATACCCGAAGAGATGGTTTTCTGTATGGCATGTGTTTTTCTGCATGATGCAAAATGGCATAATCTCGCTCCTCTTAAATCAAGTTCTGCCTCGGGAAATCGCTCCATCCCTGGGGAGGAGACCTTGATTCTTTCCGGAATCAGTGCCATTCCATGGCATTCAATGACGTGGTTGACTACGCAACACTTATTCAGTAGACTCCGTGACCTGCTTCTTCTCAGCTTCAAATGCAGCCTAGAAGAGGCACCCTCGGGCAGCTTCGCGGACTTGAGCCTTCTTCCAGCCACAATCACCATCGTGCGGTACTTGAAGAAATGGTTTACCGTCCCACATACATTTTCAATATGTATGTGGGACGGTAAACCGCTTCTTGGTATCCAGCCCAGCCATCCAAACCTCCGTGAAGAAAGCCTGCAGCTAGAGGAGAGCCACGGGTCTCGGCATCCTCGCCATGCCATGGTGCTTGGCGGAGTGGTAGACTCTTAGATGTGTGCTTTCTCTGTCAATGCTTGTGACGCGGTCTTCTTCTCAGTGCCAAACACAGCCTCCAGTGGCTTCATCAGGACAAGGATGACCTCCAGGAAGGTGTCCTGCTGCCCATGTTGGCACATCCCTCTGGAGTAATTGAAGAAACGGTGGCAGGTGCCACTAATGTTCATGAAGGAGGGATGTGAAACAGGCCACCTCTCATCCTCAAAGCTCTCCTCAGATGACTTCAGGACAGTACGCCCATGTAGGAGCAGATATGGGTCCCGGAGACGATGCCACTCCAGGTACTTGAAGACGCACTGACTCGTTTTTGTCTTTGCTGATGCGTGTACAGTCTATCTTTTTTCCATCTCAAGTCTAGCCATCTCGGGGGAAGATGCCCCAGCTCTGGACTCAGCCCTGATCCTCATGAAGATCTGATCGACCCATTGTGTATGTTTACAGAGGAAGTACCTCCGTGGCCCACTTCTTCCCTATCTCCAGTCCAGAACCCTTGCTTGGAGAACTTGCTGAAGAAGCTACCAGCCTCGGGGACAGAGCACTGGTTCTGGCCTCTTCACTGACCTCACGGTACCTGAAAAGGGTTCAGCCACACTGCATGTCTTTTCCCCATGACGTATGTAACATGGTCTACTTCTTTTCAAGTATCTCTTTCAGCCTGGAAAGTCTCCACGGAGGTTATGTTAAGCTCAGGAGACGAGGCACCAGTTCTGGTACCAGTACTGCCTCGGGGTACTTAGTAGAAGTTGGCCATGCTTCATATGTTTTACTTACAACGCATGTTACTTGGTCCACCTTCCTATAACAGCGTGCACCTTGGGGGGCTTTCTGTAGGCAGTAACAAGTGTCAGGCGTAGCACTAGTTCCAGCGTCATCTCCATTCTTGAGGGGTTCCTTTGTGCTGTGTCCACTGCATCTGTGGCAGACATTGCAGGGTGGCCTCTTCTCAATACTGCATCAGGCCTCAGAGGGCTTCCTGGAGGTGATGCTAGCGAGAGGAAAGAGACACCGGCTCTAACATCAGCCCTCTCCAAGGTACCTGAAAAGATGGTTGACCGTAGAACATGCGCTATCTCTGTGTCGTATGTAATATGGTCCACGTCTTCTCAATATCAAATTCAGTCACAGAGGGCTTCCCAGAGACAGGCAAAGTCACCTTCGTGGGAGACACACTGATCTGGCTTCAGCACCATTCTGTAGTACTTGGAGAGATGGTAGAGCAAAAAGCGTATGCACTGTTGAATGACAGATGTAGCACGGTCCACTCATTCTCAGCATCAGGCAGCCCTGGGGCTTCCTGGAGGCCTTGCTGACTTGAGAGCCGGGCCTGCGTGGTAGCCACTATGCAGTGCAGGTCACCAGGTGGTTGGCTGCAGACCCTGTCCTTTATTTATTACATTGGCCATTTGGTCCGCCAGCCAAGAACTCAGCACCGGTCCTAGCCTTACAGGGCATCCTGGAGGTGGTAGTGGCATTGGATGTGAGTTTGTGGTCATTGTCACATTGCCGGTGGCTGGTAGTTCATGATGCACATTGTGAGGGCTTTCTGGAGGTGATAGCAGGTGAAAGGAAGAGAGCCAGGGGTCACCGTCACTTCCTGGTATTTGAAGATGCGGTTGACCATGGTGTGTACGCTTTATTTATAACGTAGGACACATGGTCTACTTCTTCTCAATATCACATCTCGCCTCGGAAGACTTCAGGAGGTGATATCAGCTTTGAGGAAGAGCCACTGTCCTGGTGTCAGTACGGCTGCTGCTTGGTACTTGGAGAGAGGTGGTCCGTGGCGCGTTCGCTTTATTTATGGCGCACATTACACGGTCGACCTCTTTGCAGTATCTAATCCCGCCTTGCAAGCTTTCCTGGAGCTAACATCAACTGCGGGGGGAGGGGGGGGGCACTAGATCTGCGCTCAGTGCAACCCAGCGGGGTTTGTGATGTGTTTGTCTTGTGTGTGATGATAACTCACGTGTGGCAGCCTTCTTCTCAGCACACTGCTCTGGCTTGGCGGCAGGGTTAACTTGCGGACAAGGAGTGTGGTGTCAGCACGTTCCTGGATACCTGAGATGGTTGACCAGAGAGCACACGCTTTATATGTGCCGTTTGTGACCTGGTCCACTACCCCTCAGTATCTAATGCCCCCTTGGAGAACTTCCTGGAAGAGGTGTCAACTTTTGGGGAAAGAGACAGTAAACCGGGGCCGGCTGCACTCTGCTAGACTCTGAAGAGAGCGTCTGCGAGGCGTTCGCGTCACGTGTACCAGATGTGGCTGAATTGGACTGATTTTCACTCCAGTCTCTTTCCTTGGAGGGCTTCCCAGATGTGGAAGCATCCAAGTTCAAGGGAAGGGGCATGCTGTCTATACCATCCCCAAATCCTCGAGTGATCAGCTGACCTGAGTGTGTGCACTTCTATTTACAACCAAGGGCACCTGGCCCGCCACACCTCAGTATCCACTAGGTCCTTAGCAGGACCTTTGGTGGAGTCAGCCTTGGTTTGGGGCATCTGTGCCTCTCTTGAGTAACTGGGAAAACATGGCCCTGGGGGTTAACCCTAAATGCGATAGCTCCTGTGACCAGCCTTTCTATGGCATCACCACCTCTGGCTGTGATGTCAACTTCAAGGCATGCCGTGGGGTCTGCTCCACTGGGGTACTTGGACAGGTGGTTGGCGAGCAGCATGCATCCAACTCTTGGCTTCCTCCAGCAAATCTACTAACCAACGCTCAGTGTGCAATTCCATATTTAACAGGACTTCCAGGACTGAATGTCGAGTTTGGGGAAGAATCAGTGGTGTTCCTTGTCAGTGTTAATCAGTGGTACCTGAAGAGAGGTTTTCTGGGTTTCTGTTTCTTTAATGAGGATGAAACACACCTGGTTAACCTCTTTTCCAGTATCAAATCCCATCTTGGAGGCCTTCTGGTCCAGACCTCAGCTTCAGGGAAGGGCGTTACTCTCAGCTCCAGTTCACTGGACAGAAATCTATGGTTAACCACAAAGCCTGTGCTGTATTATTTTGACTGATGTCATCTGTTCTACTAACCCCAGTGTCCAATCCGTATTTAACAGGACTTCCAGGACTGAATGTCAGGTTTGGGGAAGGAATCAGTGATGTTCTTGTCAGTGTTAATCAGTGGTACCTGAAGGGAGGTTTTCTGGGTTTCTGTTTCTTTACTGAGGATGAAACACACCTGGTTAACCTCTTTTCCAGTATCAGCCCCCACCTTGGAGGCCTTCTGGTCCAGACCTCAGCTTCAGGGAAGGGGTGCTATGGGCATAAATAAGTAGACATGAGCAAATGGCTGACTGCTAAGCGTGCTCCATGTTTCTGAATTTTGCCACCAATTGCACTAACCCTCAATGTCTTATCCCTTCTTAGGAGGACTTTTCAATGTGATGGCAGCCTGGGGGAAGACAGTATCACCACGAAGTGTCATGGAACATGCAGGTGAGTCGTCTGTGGTTGCCTTCGTCGTGCTCCCAATGGATCGTGTGTGTCATTCAGGCTCTTTTGGCTTCAGACCCTGCTGCTGGGGGATGCCTGGTTCTTGCCACACTCAGTGATGGGCTTGAATGAGCCAAGCCCACCGCAGGGGAATGCCAGTTTGATGGGAATCATGCCCTGGACAGACAGCGCAGGTGTCCTGCACACCTGTCCCAGCCTGCAGTTTATTCTGAAAGGATGTCCCGAGTATAATGACACCTTAGAGAAGAAAAGCTGATTCTGAGGTCAAGAGGAGACCTTGGGGACCCTGGAATTGGCCTAAGTTGGGACCTGTTTATTTCTAACAGGAATTGTGGAGTTGACTTATTTTAAGTCTGGAGAAATCCTTGATGTCATGCCAACTTGAGGGGAGGGCATTGTCATCAGCCCCGATCCAGGGGAAGGAAGTGGATGGCCCACCATGGGGCCCCCAGGAACACACCTGCTTCACTGACCAGCACATCTGACCCATCCTTGGGGTTGTGTTTCTGCAGATGTTTCTTCTTTGGGGTGCTTGAGGAGAGGTTTCCTTTGGCATATCTATTTCTTTTATACAGATCATTTCTGTGGACCACTCTTCAGTATCAAACACACCAGCTCAGAAGGCTTTGGGATAAGACAGTAGTTGTCAAGCCCCTGGCCAGGGTGAGTGGGCCGAAGATGGGTGCTTCTCCTGTTCTGAGCATCCTGTCTGGCAGTAATGCTTGGTGCCCGATCCTTTCCAGGAGGACTTCCTGGAGGTGATGCCGGCCTCTGGGAAAGGTAGTGGCTCCCTGCTAGCTCTAAGGCCAAGGCACAGAAGTAGGTTTTGCTGGTGCTGCATTTGTTTTGATGGCACTTAGTTGTGACTGTGGGTCCTCAGCTCATCCGTGGCATTTGGGGAGGGGACTTGTGGGGAAGGAGGGTGTCAGGTTCTGGAGAAGGCCAGGTCTTTCCATCTCAACCCTGCTTTTTATAACCAGAGACAGAACATATGAGGTAGCACCAATGACCACCGTTGCCAACCCTTCCTACTAGCTGATACCCAAACACCGTTCCTTCCAGCCGAAAAGGGCCCTCATAAAGAGAGGGCAGAGAGAGAGAGTGTCAAGGCCATGTGACAGCAGGCAGTGTGCTGTTGCCTCTGGGGTATTCAGGTTAGGCGGCTGCTGAGTCCATGCAGATTGGGTGCTCTGCTGGCTACACAGGGGTCAAAGGACAGGTGACAAGTGTGCAGAGCCGAAGCCTGGCCCTGGGATTTTCTTTCCTGCCCTCTGCTCCAGGGTCCACCTTCGGGGGAAAGGAGGGCACAACTGTACAACTTTGTAAGAGGAAACCTGAAGTTTTCTGATCCCTGATTCTCTCCAGCCCTGTCAGGATTGATCTAACTCTCTGTTGAAATGCAAAAGAGTCTGGAAATACCAGTATTCCCCCAACAATGAAAACAATTATTGTCAAAGGACTTTTATAGTAAACAGAAAATCCAGCCTGGAATTGGCTAAAACATTTGGGGAGCTCACATCAGGAAATGAAATTTGTTTTTATTTCTTAATTCTGCTGAATTGGATTGAAGGCCGCAGAAGCCATTAGGTGGGATTTGACCTGGAGGAGGGGGGCCTGGTCGTGCTCCTGGCTTCCCTGACCCTCCCTCCCTAGGTGTGTGTAGCGGGCGCTCACTTTGCTTACAACTTACTGGGCACCATGCATCTGTTTTTAGAATCACACCTTGCCTGGAAGACTGCTTGGATCCATGGCCAATGCCACACAGGGGCCTGGGCGCCGGCTAACTGCAGACCCAGCCACCTGCTTCTTGCCCACAGAATTTGAGATTTCCTCATGAACTCTACTGATGCACTGACTTCGGGATGCAAACCATTATGACTGGGGGCACTTCCTGTGGCCCGGACTTCCACAAGGAAACCCGGGTTCCGCCATCAGGAAATCTCCAGTACCTGGAAAGAGGTTGTGCCTAAAATGTTCTCTGTATTGGTGGAAAATGTTTCACGGGCAACCTCTTTTCACTGTCAAGGCTGAAAGGACTTTTGACTGACCTCCCGAAAGCAACCTGGGACACTCGAACAGAAGCCGTCTGACGTCTGGTCTACGCAGTGCCATGTAGATCCGTGGAATCCTCCTGGAGGTGACACCGACGTCGGCGAAGATTCGGCAGTTTTGTTTTGATTTTTTTTGTTTGTTTTTTGATCAGTGCTAATCGTCGATACTCGAAGGAGAGGTTGTCCGTGTTGTCTTCTCTTTATTTATGATGAAACATACACGGGAAACCTCTTCTTTAGTATCAAATCCCACCCTGGAGGCACTTCCTGTTCCTGATGCAGCCTTCAGGGAGGGACGTTGCCGGCTCCTGTCTTGGTGGGCGCAAGCGAGGCTTGCCATGTGTCCCAGGGGTGCGGCTCTCAGGCCCAGCGGTCCCGCGGAGGCCCCTGGGAGGGCAGCTGAGTCTGGAGAAGGGCTGTGCTTCTGTGGTTGAGGGAGGTCACTCATTGTGGTGTGTGCCTATTTATTGACTCACGGCGGGTGGTGCCTCTTCAGTGTGAGGTCTTGCTCAGATGGCCTTCTGGACACGCCAGCCGTGTCATTGAAGGGACGATGGTGCCATCTGCTCTCCAGGGTAGCTGAGGGGATGGTAGACCGGTGACGTGCACTTCATTTACGATGTAGGTCACCCGTTTGACTATCCACCAGTGCCCGGTCCATCTGTGGGATGACATCTTGGTGCACATGGCAACTTTGGAGAAGATGTGGGAGGATGTGGGGCTCATGGGACTCTGCAGGATTTCAGGAGGGGTTTCCCTTTGGGGGGTTCCTCCTCCCACCTCCTTAAAGTCAATATAAACAATCATCAGTGAATAATCTCTCTTTTGGTTTCAAATCCCGCCCAGGAGGGCTGACAGCCTGAGCACAAACAATGCCAGGACCGCGGAGGCCTCAGCTTCAGTGCCCCAGCAGGGAAAGGCCCACCTCACACCGCATGCTGACTGCAGGAGGTGTGTGTGGGGGTGCCTGGTGCAGGGGTGTCGTTATCCTTGGAAGGGTTTGAGGAGTGGTTTGTGTGTGTAGGACAGGGCCAGTGTTGGGACAGCTGTGGTTGTTATGGCCACTTTATTCTGTGCTACATGAAGAGAGGCTGTCTGACAAAGCTTGCCATGTGTCTGATGAATGCTACATGGTCCGTCTCTTTTCCATAGGAGGACTTCCTGGACATGAAGCTAGATTCTGGCAGTGCCACTGGTGTCGGCGACACTCCTGGTGAGTCGTGGATGTGGGACTGAGGAGCTGGCGGCGTGATTGAGGGGGGCCCTTCCTGTGTCGAGACCACTCAGAATCCAGCCACTCCCGAGGTGGCATCCAACCCATGCTTGGGGAAGCCTTTGCTGTCGTTGCTCACCTCTGTCTGTGGTTCAGCTCCGCCTGCCTTACAAGGCCTGAGATGCCCTGGATGCTCTCAGTGTCAGACTCTGGAAGATGTGTCCCGGCTGTGACATGCGCTGCGGGGAGGGCTGTTGGCGTCAGGTCCATGGAGAGGTGTGGGAGCAGATGTTCTGTTTCGGGTGTGTGTCCTGGTCCGTTCATCCTCAGCCTCCCTCCCATTCCTAGGATGACTTGTGGAGAGAAGGCCTGCTCTGGAGTCTGAAGGTGAGACCCACAGCTCTCACCCCGCCCTTGGGATATTCCCACGGCTACGGCAGAGGCACAAGAAAGTGACTAGAAACGCAGAAACTCCTTAAGGCCAAGGCTGGGAACTGCTGTGTTTCCACGCGTAGATCATTGACCAGAACAAATTACGTGGTTGAGCCCAAGGCAAGGGGCAGGGGGGCACACTCCACCCGGGAGGATGTTGTGGTGAGGTGTGAATGCGTGAACTGGGGAGGATTGGCCACCAGGAGAGTTGTCCACGTGGCCCACCTGAGGACTTGGGCTTTATTCATTGCTCATTCATCCCTCCCTAACCCGCAGCTCCGATCTGCCATGGGGGCACTTCTCGGGCTCAAGCTGGTCGATGGTGGTGACACTGTGTCAGGGCCTCTGGTCATTCCATCTGTTTGAGGCAAACATTAAAAAAAGGCTTGTGGTACTCGTTCTGTGAAGACGTCCTTGGTTCAGGGGCTCCATCAGGGCAGGCGCTTTGCTGTTTGCCCCTGAAGGGTAGGTGGTAGAGCTCATCGATCTTATCTGGGGAGTTCTTGTGACTCTCCTGGTCCCTGCTTATCTATCCGCAGGAGGACTTTTAGGATGCCAACCCAGTGTTTCTGTGCCATTGTCATTCTGTGAGCCTGGAGGAGACTTTGTTGTTGATGAATTGAACACATCCTGCCCACAAGCACCTCCAGGACACAGTGCCACCTGTACAGAGGGGGCAGACCTGTTAGAAGTCTCCGAGGTCTTGAGGTGGGTTGTATGCAGGGCCATATCTTTGTCACCCATTGCCTGGTGTGCATCAGGACCCATGTGTTCTCAGGAAGCCTACAGAAGTGATACCAGTCGCGGAGAAGCAGTGCTGTCAACGGTGCTGACATGCGGTACTTAATGAGAAGTTGCCCGTGTCTTTTTCGCTTTATTTGTGACGAAACATTCGCGGTGCACTTCTTTTTCAGTATCCTATTCTGCCTTGAAGACGTCTTGGTTCGGGTGCCAACTTCAGGGAAGGCACATGGGCCCCTGTAGTGGATGCTGGTCAGGACCTCCCCACCCCATGTCTTTTCTCCCTTCCTAAATTTCCCCTGTTTTTTTTAAATGAAAGCTCCCCTCTTCCCACCATGTGCTTTGATTGCGTTGACCCTGCCCGACTTCCTTCACCAGCCCAGGCTTAAGTGAATCTCTTGATCTCTTCTTCTTTGCCACTGCAATTGCTTCCAGAATAGGCTCCTGACCCCACTGAGCCAGTGAAAGGCAAGGAGATGTTTGCTGTGGCTTCTGGGAAAGAAACGGTTTCTCCCTTTTCTATAATAGCTGCCAGAGTAGACACTGTCTATTCCATTCAGCTGGGAACAGACAGTGAACTTTCATGTGAGCTTCGAAGGTCCTACAGCCATTTAAGGACTAAGAGGAGAGGGCTTGGTGCCGCACAGACACAGAAGAGGGAGTCTGTACCATGAAAGGCATCTTGGAGACCTAGAGAAGAGCCTGGGTGATATCATTTGAGTCCCTAGATCAAACCCTGCCTGAAGCTTGCTCTGTCTCTGTACTTTTTAGTTATATAAGTCTATACATCCCTTACTTGTTTAAGCCAGTTTGAGTTAGATTTTATCTTACTTGCAATACAAACAGATGATACCACAGTGTGTTTTCCAGTGTGACTGGGAAAGCCTGCATTTTTTTGATTATGTGTTTCTCACGGTTTGCCTATCTATCTTCAGCGTCCTATTTAAGGCAGGGTCTTTGTGAAAGGTGACTTTTCTTATGGACTTATGCTTTCAAAGCTTTGTCTTAGTGATTTAATTTATGGTTGACAAATGATGCACAATTACCGTGTTTTGTGTCCAGCAATGGATCACTGGGTCCTCTCTGGAAGGCCTGAAGGGTGGTGGGCCCCAGAACTTCTGCCCTGATTCACTCTCCCTGGAATCCCCCTCTCCCTGGGAGGCTGCCCTTCAAGTGATGCGGATTTGGGGAAGCTGTTGTCCTTTCCTGGCCCCTGCTGTCCTTTGGCTTTCTGTGGGTTGGTTGTATTTGTCACAACTCCCACCAAACTGTCAAGTGTTTTAGAAGCAAGCCATGCCTCCAGGGAACCCAGAGCACCTTAGGGAGGAGGCATGGTGGTCAGGACCATGCAAGGTGCACAGATAGATGGGTCCACCGAGAGCCGGGGCTGCCTTAGTGGTTTGTTTCTCCTAATTCGATATCTTTGTCTTCCCATCTCTGAAAAGGAGAACTTCCTGGAACCACGGACTCATGGAGGAGATTCTATTTTTGGGTCCAGGAACATCCTGTTTTCTCCATTTGTGGGTTTGATGGTAAACATTCCGAAAGCGTGTATGCCCTGATTATTGAATTCTGCCCATGAAGACTTCCTGGGATCCCGAAGTAGAGGGAGTCTAGGATCGGTTTGCTTTATCTGTGATCTGTGATGACTGTCCTCCTCTGCTCAGTGTCAGCCCAGCCCTTCGCAGCATGCCCCCTGCCTACCTTGGGTTAGCCAACACCTGATGCTTTTAGGCTTAATTGAGCATAAGTTTGATTGGTAGTGTCTGCCCAGCTCTACCCCCACGCCCTGACCCTTCGTGTCCCTTCACGCCCAGGTGTGCTGCTGGTGGGGAGGACGTGCTCATCTCTGGTACCTGAAAAGAAGTTGCCCATGTTATTTTCGCTTTATATGTGACGAAACAAACATGGTGCACTTCTTTTTCGGTATCAAATCTCTCCTTGAAGAGCCTCCATCCGTGATGGGACCCTGAGCATGGGACCTGGTGTCACTACCTCTCCTGGTATGTACATGGAGGATTTGTCCCGGCAGCCCCTCGGTGACTCTGCGTGTTGGTGGGCTCAGGGACCATGCTCAGTCCTCAGTCCATGCCCACCTCTCGGAACAGGCACAGTTGGCGAGGCCTCAGCCACATGCCAGCTCCCCGCTGCAAGGGAGGCTGGGGAGACGCACTCCCAGGCTCCACTGAGAAGCATTCCCCAACATTTGAGAAGAGTTCAGATTATAGCAGCCAAAAACAAAATAAAAAAGGAAGCAGCTGCCACAACCACAAAAACAAATAAGCAATGAAGACCCCCGCCCCCATCCGCTCTGTCCAGAGGTGCGAGGGGATGGCTGAAGGGGACATGAGGACGTGCCACCTGGTGGACTGCCACCCGCACCTCCACAGAAGAATTGATTGGGGGTAGCAATTGTGGCAGAAGTCGTCCCTGTGGCTCGGGGGGACAGGATTTCCCAGAGTGAGGATTCACTGGAGCCTAATTCTCCTAGCCCCACTCTTTCTTTTCTTTTTTTTTTTTTTTGACACGGAGTCTCACACTGTCACCTGGGCTGGAGTGCAATGGCTCGATCTCGGCTCACTGCAACCTCTGCCTCCCAGGTTCAAGCGATTCTCCTGCCTCAGCCTTCCAAGTAGCTGGGATTCCAGGCGCCCACCACTAGGCCCGGCTAATGTTTTGTATTTTTAGTAGAGACGGGGTTTCACTGTGTTGGCCAGACTGATCTTGAACTCCTGACCTCGTGATCCACGCCCGCCTCGGCCTCCCAAAGTGCTGGGATTACAGGCACAATCCACTGCGCCCGAGCCCCGCCCCATTCTTTCTAGGTGCCAGTCCTGCCTCTGAGAGATGTGCTCCTTGATCGCCAACAGCAGAGAGACGTTGGTGTCTGACGTTGGTGTCTGCCCCAAGTGGGGAGCAGTGAACAATGGCTGATGGCAGAACACATGCCTTCCCGAAGACACTGCTATCCGGGTGTCCAGTCCCCACATCCAGTCCGTCCTTGGGCCCTGGAAGAGAAGTTTCCCCGGTGTGTTCATTTTATCTGTGACGAATCATTTCTGGCCAGTCTTTTTGCAGTATCAAATCCCACTTGAAGGGAAAGGCTGTTTGAGCTGGGAGCTTTGGTGGCGTCAGCAGTTCTCTGGGGTGAGTGATGGGTGTTGCCCAGAGGGCATGTGTGCCAGCACCATGGTCACCTGGTTCTCTGAACCTCAGCATCCCTGTCCCCTAGGAGGGCTTCCCGGAGCTCTGCCAGCCAGAACTAGAGGCTGTGGGACTGCTCTCTGGGTTACACTTTGGTACTGGAGGAGAGGTTCTCTGTGTTTCTTCCCTTTGTTTTTGATGAAAACTATGGTGCACTTCTATTTGAGAATCATGTGCCATCAGGAAAGCCCAGAACCCACTTCTGGGAGGAGATGCTAACGGCAGTCCATTGGTGGTACTGGGACCATGCTGGCCTCAGCAGGTGCCCTCTGGACAGTGGGCAGCTGCTCCACCCATCCCCTGGGCTCTGGCCTCCCTCCAGAGAACTTCCTGGTGGCAGAAACACGTTGGAGAGGCAGCACCGGTCTTCATGTCGGGAAATTCCATCAAGAAAGGCTATCCAAGCTGTGGCCTGCACAGTCAACCCGTTTTACTCATTTGAGCGCCACCCTTCTACATGATGGGGCGCCCACTTCAGGGAAGGTGCAGCTGTGGGAGCAGAAGGCAGGCCACACAGTCTGTATGTGACACGTGCCACTTGGCCCGTGGACCCTCAGCCTGAGGACCTCTGGAGGGGACACTGGTTCTGAGTCCCCTGTGGAAGAGGAAGCATAGTTGTTGGATGACGTGACGTGGACAGTTCTCTTCCGACCAGAGCCTCGTCTCTCATCGAGGAGGGCTTCTGCTCTCTGCTGCTTATGTCAGGAGAGGGCCACTGTTGCCTCCACCACCTCAGGTACGTCGGAGGGAGACCTTGAGGAAGCATTGCGTCTCCGACGGTGCGTGTCCCTGTGTGTTAACGCTTGCCGTCTGTTTCCTTTGCAGAAAGACCCCCTGGGCTCTGGAAGAGAGACAGGACCCCAGAAGCTGCCCAGGAATGGTTGGAGGGAGGTTGTTGGTGATGTATTCACTCTGTGTGGCAGATACCCCACAGTGGACCTCCTAAAGCACTGAACGCCTCCTTGAAGGACGTGCTGTATGTGGGGTCAAGTTCAGGAACGTGGTGTGAGTGTCTGTCAGCCCCTCACTGAGGGTATGTATGCAGATGGTGGAACAGATGGCAAGTATTTTCCTTCATTTGTTTTTTCTTTTGAGAATTGAGAATTTATTGAATGAACATGTAATCCTGTTTCCTAAGGTAAATCTATACGTAAAAATTTAGGTCCTACACCACCAATTTCTTATTAAGAAATGGACCAAGAAATGTGAACAAAACCATATGTAGCACAGTTTTCAGATTTTTAGAAGAATGTCAAAATATACACTGTCTTGTCTCTTGATTCCCAAAGCTTAAACTCTAAAGAATAGGGAAGACATAGGTATACACTGGAAAAAAAATGGCAAATAAGTGAGGAGGATGGGAATTTTTATGACTACATGGGAGACACACTGAATTTTTTTTTTTTTTTTTTTTTTGAGACGGAGCCTGACACTGTCGCCCAGGCTAGAGTGCAGTGGCATGATCTTGGCTCACTGCAAGCTCCGCCTCCCGGGTTCATGCCATTCTCCGGCCTCAGCCTCCTGGGTAACTGGGACTACAGGCGCCCGCCACCACGCCTGGCTAATTTTTTTGTATTTTTAGTAGAGATGGGGTTTCACCATTTTAGCCAGGATGATCTCGATCTCCTGACCTCGTGATCCGCCCACCTCGGCCTCCCAAAGTGCTGGGATTATAGGCGCCCACCACTGTGCCCGGCTAATTTTTATATTTTTAGTAGAGACAGGGTTTTACCATGTTGGCCAGGTTGGTTTTGAACTCCTGACCTCAGGTGATCCGTCCACCTCGGCTTCCCAAAGTTCTGGGATTATAGGCGTCAGC